GCAGGGTCATTTATTATTTCTGTGTTAAATTTACAAATTTTAGACTAATTATTCATCAATTTAACATGACTAAAAATTGTTAATTAAAGGTTACTATTTAGTTTAACGAACTCTGACGATTAATATCAGGTATTCCTAATTTATCAAATAATGATTCTAATTTATACTAGGATTATAAATATTTTTTAATTTATTGTATTCCTAAATGTTCTTATAAGATTAATTATAATCTATTAAAATAAGAATACTTACTTGGCTACTTCATTTTATAGATTCAAATAATTCATTTTTTTAATTGCAATTGAATCTAATTTATTAAGTATTTCTATAGATTTTTTGAGATCATAATCTTTTCCTTTATAATTAACCTTTTTAATTTAACCCATCCAATTCTTTTAAAATAGAAAATCATTAAAATCATGATAATACATTGTTATAATATCTTTTTAAGCTTTATCGTTACTTAAATTTTCATTATACTTAGACACTATAAATGAAATTGAAAGAATCCAAGATATAATTGAACCTGTATCTGCTAATATCTCTGATATCTTTGGATATTCAACCATATTTACTGTCTTTACTTAATCTAAGTCAAAGTATAGAACAGCTATTATGTCTTGCCCATAGACTTTTTAAGCATACTCTTAATCAAATTAAGTGGTTAATATAGATAAGTCAGAAAGAAAAGTTTGTTAATTAGAGTTAGGGAATAAAAATCCATCATCCATAATCAAATCTCCTGATTTTAAGGTAAACATATTTTAAAAATAAGATTTTTGCATCATTTCAAAAACGAAAAATTTAGGAATTTTAGTAATTTATTTATTTCTTGGATCAAATTGTTCTAAATAAATCAAAATCTAAAAGTAGTTATATCTTATTAAAAGTATTTATTGATTAAATCTTAATTTGCGCATTTTTATCCATCTTAAAGTAATTCTGGATTGCAATATGTAAAGGTTAATTGATAGTTAGTATATTTATAATCCTATGAACTTATTGGCGAATTTGAAATTATAATATCTTCTATCAAGAGCATATTTTATGTTTTACCTTCCTAAGTTTTCCTATATTAGAAAGTTGCATTGATAGGTGTTTACTAAGAAATAAAATAGCTATACATCATAATAACTAGATGAGCTAACCAATAATGGTTATAATATCATATTCTATGGATCAAAAGGATCTATTTAATGTGAAAGTTCTTAAAAGTAGCTTATTTCAGCAAATACTCCTTGCAATTTCAATTTCTATTCAACATTGATCTATTATTGTAGAGAAGTCACTTTAGGAAGTTTATTATTTTATTGCCAATCTACAAATTGAAATAGAAAATATCCTAAGCTTATACTATACAAAGTTAAAGTTACTAATCCACCTAAAGAGCTTTGTTATGTTGGTTTAATTTCTGGGAATTTATAATTTTTGCTAAACTCCGAATTAATCGATCAATTATAAAAAGTAAGACATTATATTTTATGAAATTTATAAATGTGAGTTCAAAGAAGTGTTGATGAAAAGATGCAATCAACTGTTACTTATAGGAATTATAAAATATAATTTGAATAATGATTTTATATTTTATTTCTCGTATATATCGATCATAATCATGCTAGTGGTTTAGCTGATTAAACCAATAATTGTTTTAGTTAGTTGACATAGGTACTATTTAACAAAGCAACATCTACTATGACTGCACTGACTAAATATGGATCAATATTGGCAGCTGGTCTTCTGTCTTCCAAATAACTATTAGAATAACGATATTCAATACCCTTATCCTAATTCTTTAGTGATTACTGGAACTCTGATGGACCCACCTCTGGAACCATCTCCCCATGAGAATTAATCATAGGAACTTGTTTCATGGTGACCTGTTAATCTTTTTTCATTATTTGCTCCATATAGTTTTAAAACTTCTTTGTGAGTATTACTTAATAAAGGGATCAATTCGTCGACAATATACTTGTATCCCCCTTCTCCTCTTGTTTTGACATCAGAATAGTTTGTATGGGCTCCAGAACCATTCCAATCTCCCAAGATGGGTTTTGGATCATAGTTGATATCAATACCAAATTCTTCACCCAATCTCTCTAGAATGTATCTAGCTAACCATAGGTGATCTCCGATTTCAATTCCTTCAGCGATACCAATTTAGAATTCCCATTAAGATGGAGCAACCTCTGCATTGATACCTGCAATTTTGATTCCCGCATTCAAACAAGCTCTAAGATGTGCCTCGGCTAAAGCACGTCCAAAGTTGTTTCTTTCTCCAATGGAACAATAGTATCGTCCTTATGGATAGGGAAATCCTCCTGTTGGCCATCCGAGAGGCCAGATATGAGTTGTTCCTGTACGTTTTAATAAGAAATATTCTTATTCGATTCCAAACCAAGGTTTGAAGTCTTTAGCTTTTTCCATGATTTCATTGGCAATCCATCTAATCATAAATGAGAAGGGTTACCTAAAGTTATATCTGGCTGGGGTCTTCTTGTCTGGTAAATATGTTTCACACAACACCAAAAGGTGAGGATCACCTCTGAAGGGATCTCTCACATAAACCACAGGTTTCAAATAAATTTCAGACCATTTAGTGTTGGCTTGTTCTGTTGATGAACCATCATATGTCCACCATTCAAGGTCAGAAAGTTAAGTTATCGGTGTTAGATATACCTAAATAATTATTATAAAAAGTACTTTTGTTTTCGATCTCATTCTCTCTCCAGTTCCATCAATCCAGATATATTCAGCCAAAACTTGAGTAACATTCTGGTTTAGTTTATAATAATTGAAATCACGAAGATGTTCCACAGTTTCTGTCATGTAAGATCTAAAATTTATTCAATTATTCAATAGAAAAACGCGTATGGATTTCTGGATTTAACTGGCTTTATAATTGGTCATAAATTAATATTCACATTAAATTGATATCTAATATTGTTTATTATTATATAATTTGCAAGATTACGTTTTTAATTTAATTTTCAATTTTTTATAAATTACAATCTCATTAATTAAGCACTTGGTAATTAAGACAATCACCTAATTTTTTAACTTAAATTGTAACCTTACAGAAAATTCGATCTTAGTTCAAGAATATACAGAAAAATTGAATATTTGCCCAATAAGTTGAAATTTTTAGGAGCAAAAGTTTTATATTCAATAAAATATTGTAATAATAATAAAAGGAAGCATCTAACTCTTCTCATTTTAAATATTGAGATTATGAAAAAAATGAAATTATTTGGACTTGATCATTTCTTTTAATATTATTATTTATTATATTCGTATAATATTGAATTTTTTTCAATTACTTTTTTATTTTGTTTATTTTGCACTCAACTTCTTCCCATGCGATTTATCATACATATATAAAGTTATATTGCATAATGTACCCAAAATAGTGACCATTCGAATAAATTACATCATTTAGACATAAGATTATTATGTTTCATCTTAAATAATAGATCCAACTATTAAAGGCAAAAGGGCTAGGCCGATATTCTAAATTGATGTTACAACTCCGAATCCAGTACCTTAAGCATTGGCTTTAATGCATAAAGGAATGCATGGCCAAATTACAGGAGCGAAAATTGCAAAAGATAGACCGCTAATTGATTAAGCCAATAATGTTAAATTATGGCAAGTGTCATTAATACAATTAAGTTCTACACAGTATAAAGAAGTAGAAATTAAGAGTAAAACACCAGAAACGAGAATAATTAAAGGTCTTTATCCAATTTTATCAACAAAACCACCAAAAATTGGAGTAATAATTGCACTAATGTAATAAGGCAGACTGTAAAAAAATGTGGCTTCCTAATCTTGAAGTTGGTATCTATTTTAATATGAATATATGTACTACCTAATTTTAAACATTTGCAAAGAATTTTATTACAAAACAATGAAAGCACTATATGATAATACACAAGTTAAAGATACGAGATAGAAATCCAATTTAAATTGTTTAATATCTGATAGACTAACATTAGATTATTCCTCATCCTTTTTAATTTATCCATCTCTAAAATCACTTATTTTATCCATTTCAATTTGAATAAATGAGACTCCCCAAACAATTAGGATGATGATACAACAAATCATCATGCAAGACTGAAAGCTGTCATTAAATTGAACATATGTGTATCTCAGCAAGTTTACTCCTAGAACTGATCCTAATCTTGTAAATGTTAGTTTTAAACTAAATTTTTGATATATATATCCTACCCAAATGCTAAGGCCATCTCTTAGCCAACAAACCATTTACTAACAATAGAACTCTATGCCACACTCATGCAAATTTCACCACCCATGCCCATTAGCATCATACCAATTTTCAAATAGTTGTAGTTTAAAATTAGGGATCCATAATAACATAAAGCTAGAAATGTTTAGAAATAAAATTGTACCTTATCCAAACACAAGAAAAGCTGCAAATGAAACCAAAGAGGTTCTTATTCCTATCTTATCAATGATAATTCCTCCAAAAAATGGAAATATAACATTAGGCAAGGAATAAAATGTAAATAGTTGATTAATATCTGATTATTAAATAGAGAATTGCAACTTCATCTGGGATGCTAAAACAGATGGGAAGTCACTGCACAAACAACATCCAACTTAAAATATGCATGTCATTGCCAAAAATAACCATCTCAATGAAGTTTAATGCCAAGACACTTATTTCTTATCCATTTTTATATTAAATTTATATTCTTAATAATTATCCTAAGATAGTTTTTAATTGTAAATATTGGCTTTCCATATATTATTCATAAAATTGTAATGAATGTTATAAAGAATGTTTTATAGGTTGGAGACAATATTAAAGATAGAATTATTTTTATATAATTTGTTAATTAATTATATAAATATAATTATTATAACGGATTGAAAACTAAAAATGAAAAGTATTCTGAAGTAAATGGCTATCTTTATAAGTTAGTTAATCAAAGTAAACTTTAATGCTGCATGTGGCTAACAGTATAATAAAAAATGCAAAAAATGATTTTACAGTAAAAGATTGCGATGTGCCAACTATTAATAAGATCCCAGCATCAAAGCGAATTCAGACAAAACCGAAAGAAAATGCTTTAAGTGAATACAATGTAATCACAAGGTGCGTAACAGAATAAAGAAAAAGCTCAGGTATACTTATTGTTTGATTAGTCACCGAAACTAGTATTAATGAATAAAAAGAACAAAAAAGAATTCCCTCTTATTGTATGAAATGGTTAAATTATAAATATCATAAAAAGGTAAGTTTAAGAAATTAAAAATAGGAATTTGTTTAGTTGGAATAATAATTTTACAAAATACTATAATTATAACCTGAAAAAGGAGTTGTTCAATAAATTGAAAGAGATCTTTCAAGAACTATTAAGGCAGAAAACCACTTTAAAGAAATTAGAAATATACTTATTGCATTTTCAGTCTATGATCCAAATATTGGATATGTTTAGGGAATGAACTACATTGCTTCAATACTATTTAATCATGCAAAATAAGAGTGGATAGCATTTTGGCTATTTGTGAATTTAATAGAGTAAATGGAAATTAGAGATATTTTTTAATTATCACTTAATACAATAAACAAATACTCGAAAATCTTGGATTTTCTTGTGAGTCGGTTTCTACCTAAAGCATATCAAAATTTATGTTTAAAATAGGTTAACACTGAGTTATACATTTAGTAATGGATTCTAAGTTTGCTATTGCAATTTATTCCATTTGAATATACCTAAATGTATTTGGATGGATTATTCAAATAAGGAATATCATATTTTTACATGATAGCATTAACAATCATTAAAGTATTCGACAAACCAATACAAGAAGAGGATTAAATAGAAATCTTAATTTTGTTAACATCAAAATAATATGTAATTGATTTTACTAATCTAATTAGAGTTAATTGAAATGGCCATCTATATTAGCTCTATAATGGGAGATAAATCCAGGTGAATTGAGAGTACTGTTGGATTGTTTTGACAGTGACACCAATACTTTTCACAAACCAAAATTCTAAACCCATTGCTCACAGCTTACAACAAATTTCTTCCAATTTATAAAATGTAGTTGAATTCTATCTGTTATAATTTGAGATTTCAAAATTTTATTTGATTTTTCTTTTTTTATTCCTAAATGATTACTTTCAATCATCAAAAGATATCTCATATGTTCTATCCTAAATCAGTAAAACAAGAGTTGAATAGTCGAAAAGATGAAGCAACTCAGAAAGTGATTATCAATCCTAAAACTCCCTATAACTAATATAACTGCCCTTGTACCTTAAGCAAAGTAATTGATATGCCTAAAGAATAAAGAATATAAACATCTGTTATTCATAGTATTGCAGACATTGATTGGCATCGTAAATTAAGGTATTCAGTGAGTTATTACTTTACTGAGACGTTCTAGCCCCTATTAGATATTTATTAAAATTGATTAGAAATATATATATCATTAAATTAATTAGGAAGCTCTTACATTGGCTTTTTGTAACAAAAATACGATTTATTTATAGAAGTTATATTGTTGTTAATCCAAAACTTAATAAATACTTATTAAATCTTAAATCTATTGCTATATTGACAGATTTCTAGGATTTAATATTATTAAATTAAGGATTTCAAGAGCAAACAAGCAATATTCTTTTTGTTTTTATTGTTCATATGTGTATTCTTTTTGTTTTATGGCTACTTCAATTAAGTATTTAATCTTAGTCAATTCATTTATTAATCTTATCTATTTTTACTCTCTAGTTTCGATATATTAATTCTTTGGATCTGTGCAACAAATAAATAAGTCTAAATATTTATCATCCTAATGTTATTTATTTTTCTTATTATTTATGCAGAAATTTGTATGAGTATTAGCATTTTTTATTGATATGAATTGATCACACATTGTACAATATATATACTGCATTAAATCTAATGCTTCTTAATCTTATCTTAAAATTCTTTAATCTCCGTGATTAGGTTTATTATGAATCAACTTTTATTAATTTTATATAGGGTATTTTTGACACAGATATTAATAAAATTAATCATATCCTAAATTACCGTTCAAATCCATTATATAACTTTATTATGATTCATTTAGTAAATTTTAATTTTAAACTTCAACAGGAATAATTTTTTCATTTTAATTTGTGTTTTGATATTCAAATTATGATATATTTAAGATTTATTATTATTACTATTACTGATATTATTGCTACTACTGATATTATTGTTATTATTGTTATTGTTATTGTTATTATTATTATTATTATTATTATTATTATTATTATTATTATTATTATTATTATTATTATTATTATTATTATTATTATTATTATTATTATTATAATTATTATTATTGATATTGTGGTTATTAAACCTTTTATGAAGTTTTGTCCCTACTCAAATTTAGATGAGATAGATCAAAAATTCTTTCTTTTTAATGAATCACACTTGGTTATTATTAATAATAATTCTAAGGAAGACTTTATTAAGAATTTTATCTCCGATTTGGCGTTTGTTATGTTAATAAGATCTAATATCCTTAATCAATTTTATTAATTGGTTGTTTTTCAAGCCACATTTCTTTAATATACTGACCTTAATTAGGCTCTGTTATTCTAGACTTATTAGTGATTTATTATTCAAAAATGGGTTTGTGCTTGTGCTATGGAAGAGATTCTTAGAAATTATCAGGATATTGTTATGTTTGATCTTACTAATTCATTGATATTTAATAATCTGGTTAGGAACTCACATTGACAGGATAATATGAATTTCTTTAATTTTCAACTTATTCTTCATTTGTAACCAGAATTGGACTTTTATTTTAAAACTCTCCATATGAATGGATGCCTTAGCCTCTGGCTGATTATCTCTTTGAGTATTAAGGAGCTGATAAATAATTTGTTTGCTATTATTCTGTGTCTTTATTTTAAGGAAATTCTAAGGTACCATAATTTTGTCTTAGTTAATTGAGATACTGTATTTATGGCGCATTTTATGAGTATTGAGTAGATTATAATGGTGTATGTTATTTTTGTTGTTAAATGCTGTTGTAATTAGAGCTAATTCTTTGATGACTTGTAGGTGATAAATAATTCATTTAAATTCTTGAACTGACTGGAATTGGATCATGAATATCATACTTTTATTGTTTGTAGCTATCTAGAGTTTGAAGCTCTTCTAGAAGTTGCTATTCTTATTAGTCTATGTAATCATACTAATTTTCAGAGAAATTTTATTTATGCCCATAAAATTATTACTATTTATTTCCTTGCTGTCTTAATGCAATTGCTTACAATATTTATATGTTTTGTTCCCTTTAGGATTTTAGTTCTTCTAACAATTATTAGTAATCTTGACGTGATGATTATTAAAGTTAATTTATATTAGTGGTTAATTCATTATAAATGTTGTCAATTTTGGTAACAATTGATTGATATTTGGTTTAAGTATCAGTTCTTTGAGAATACATTTCTTACTCCAATTCAGAATATTATATCATTAATTTATTGTAGTTATTGGTTATTTCTTGTTATTGTTAAATTTAAGCTTACTGTCTAGGTATTGAAAGGGTATGATTGTTAATAGATTGCATGTATTCAAATTTAGGAATTTATGAAGGAAGTAATAACAAAATAAATTTATTTTCAACAATAAAATATTGTTTATATTACAAAGTAGCAATATTTCAAATAATCTCAAGTAATGTTTAAATAATTGAATTTCTTAGGTTTCAATTCTAGCTGCAATATTAAGAAGAGTGATATGACTTTTTTGACAGCTGAAAGTTAATTAAAATGAAATTTAGATGTCACTTTTTGAGTCCAAAAATAACTTTGATAAAATATTTCAATTGCTTTGGATCTAACTTCTCAAATCTTAATATTAAACATTTTAATTATGGATACCTGTAATGAATCTCTTGACTCTCCATAATAACAATATTTTTTTCTAAAAGATGTTGTATCTACTTCCTTATATCGAAATGAGTATCTTTTCACACGTTTCACTTCTTATAATAGTATTCTGATATGATTATTAGGTATTTTATAATGTGTTTTGCATATATTAATTAGTAATTCTATTTTGTCAAAATAATAAAATGAACATTAAGAAATTGCATAAATAAGATTTTAAATTTCATCATTATAGAATAGGTCTAGTTTTGATAATTGATACAGAAATGTTCTAAAATGTTTTATTATGTTATCAAAACTTCACCTAAACTTTTAAATGAAGAAATAGGTTTTAGTTGATCAGAATAGAATTTAGCTTTAATCAAATTTTTAATGATTAATCTTGTAATTTCATGTTATTTTTGAGATTGCTCAAGAATAAATGGCAATCATTTCTCTTCATCTTTATTCTTTAATCCACTTATATATTTAAAATATTCTTTTATGTTTTGTATTATAAACTCATTATTATTCATTTTCAATTAAGGCAGCAGCACCCATACCAGTAGCAATACACATAGAAATAACACCATATTTAGCCTTCTTTCTCTTCATTTCTGGTAATAAAGTGGCAACTTATCTGGCACCAGTACATCCTAAAGTTAATTATTCTATATACCTAATGGATGTCCTAAAGCAATGGCACCACCTTTTGGATTAACTCTGCTTGGTTACATTCCCGATCGTTTTAA